TAACGGAAGAAAACTCTATATTCTATAAATATTAAATAATGTTTTTAAATATTAATGCATGTTCCTTAATTTAATGCACATAGTGCGTCATATGTGTATTAGAAACATAATGTGGCATATAGCCTTAATGGAGAAATGCAAGAACAACAAAATTTTGAGAAATGGATGTTTTGTATGTCTAGACATTAGGATGTAAAATATTCGTAGATTCTTATGGAGATACTATAGCTATAGAATTCAACAAACATATCATTCTTCACCCTCCCAAGCTCGACAGAGGATTTAGTGTTGCCATTATACTTGATGCGTTAATAATTAAGAATTTTATTAGGAAAAGATTTGAAATTTTAAGCTCATCAACCAAAATATTTTATAGCTTAAATATTATATCTAACTATTTTTATTGTTTTTATTTCAGTAACAAAATCTCCACAATTATCATTTTTTTTTATAAGACTATCTGCAATTAGAGTTAAACATAGTTGCAATTAGAACTCAACATAGTAGTTGTTTTGTTTTGGCAAAAGTTTTAACGGATACTTTCTCTGTGTGTTCTACACTCTACTTCTAGTCACTTTTAATTACTTAAATTTAGCATGTATAGTTTTGTGTATTTAAGTGAGGTTTGTTAGTTTTATTCAAAGAAAATTATAGTATTTTTAGGGAGAGCCCTAGACTTTGTAAACAATTCAAAGTTCATCCATAGCCTCCAAAAAGTTTTTGGCATTTATTGTCAGGGTAATGTATTTTTCTTTTTATTATTTTAAACTATATTGGTTAATATTAATTACATGATTCAAACTTTACCTTGTATCTTTCTTTGTTTTATTATTTTATTTAATTTATTGCATAGTTCATGGATGTATGTTTTATAGCACATAGAAAGGAACATTTTGTTGTTTTAACTCTGAAGAAATACATCATTTCAAAATTTGAAAAAACTAAAAAGATTATAAAAATTCTGAACTTGTACGTAGATCCAAGATCATTCTAGACCTTCAATGCTTTAAAGGATTATGTTAACTCTTAGTAGACAAAATTGCTGACAGAGAAATTAACAGACCCTATCCAAGATAATATTTGAACAAAAACTTGTCAGTAAAATTCACATTGATTCAACAAATTCAACTTTTGGGAGGAACTCAATGTTCTGAAGATAAACTAAAAAATAATATCACTTCATTTATCCTAGTTAGACAGAATCGATTTACAGAGAGTTTGGGTAAGAATGCCCTCACTATACTTTACCTGATTGGTTGGATTATTTATATTTTATAATGGATTTAATACTAATCTTTCTTAGAGCAATCATAGATGATGCCAGTTGGAGGATCAATTAATATCTAAGCCATTTAGGAAGCATATGAATTAATAGAGGAAATGTAATACTAATATTTTAGCTAGGTCCTGTTGATAGTGCGTATATCCAATAAGAGTTGTCAGATTTATTTGAATCTGATGCTTTGTCAATTATTGAACTGCCATAGTTACAGGGTAATTTCTAATAAGTTGATGTGTATAAATAGGAGGTAAATTCAATAATTAGAAACTGAATCATCTATGTAATTGGAGGTCAAAAATTAATCTGAAAAATAGTGTGTAAGGGATTAAAATATTAATTGAAATGGAAGGCAAATAGTCTTTACTCCAGATACATATGAATACAGGTTGAAGGAAATCATCCGTAATTTAATGGTGCAAATAAATGTTCTGTAACATCAATGAAATTCTAGTCAAAAATAATCGAGTAAAATGGAATAATCCTCACAACCTTGCTGTTAATCTTAGACCTGCATCATAATCCAAGATTAATCAAATCAAATTAGTTTGGAACGTTAAATCATTATTGGAAGATGTAGTGAGCAAATTAGGGACTAAAATTGCAAAATCAAGCTACCTTCAATTAAAAACTTTAGAAACTCAATTAAGTCAACTTGCCAATTTCATCAGTAGTAATCTCTTGTCATCATTGTCGAGCAATACTGAAGCTAACCGAAAGGACAAAAGAAAGATCCAGAAAAACATTTTGAAGAATGGTAGCAAGATCCCAACCAAAATTTGATTATAATTAGCAGGTCTGCAAAAAAACTATAAACCTTAGTGTTGAATGGAGGCCAACCCAGATTTAGGTTTGTTGTGTTCAAGATTAAATGTTTTGAAAATTTAATGAGTTGATATTGGCATATGTTGTTGTCTTGAACATATTTTGCATTTTGTTTATGTCTAATAATAAAGTTGTGATTAAAATGGAGTTA